GAGAGAGAGAGAGAGAGAGAGAGAGAGAGAGAGAGAGAGAGAGAGAGAGAGAGAGGAGAGAGAGAGAGAGAATAGAAAGCTACAAAGTGCTGGAGAGCAGGAGTCAGAGGAGAAAGGGACCCATTCTGTCCATTCTTGCTGGAGAGAGAGACTTTTCAGAGGGCCTTGCAGGGCACGCATGAACAGTGAGGGGGACTAGGGCAAGATGAGGTAAGGTAAGCGCCAGATCTGGAGGCTTGAACGCCAGGGTGAGGATTCCGAAGTTTACAGTACGGGTGGAGACAAGAGAGCGCATATTTTGGAGGAGAGGCACGATCCAGTCAGACTTCGGCCTCCAGAAGTCAGATAGGACTAAACGTGGAGACAACATGAAAGCAGAGACCACGGTGAGGACGCTACGAATCAGGTCTCGGGGATCTCCAAGCACAGCCAACCTTACCCGGGGGGCAGACCCCCCTTGGGGCGTGTCCTCCGCCCCGCCCACCCAGCGGCCGCGCTCGCCCCGCCCCTGAGGTGAGCCCGCCTCCCGAGGGGCGCGCCTCGGTGCGCAGCTGCGAAGAATCGCTTCCGGGGGGCGGGTTGGCGGAAGTAAGGGCGTAGAGGTTGGGCGGCCCGCTGTGGTAGGAGGGGCCGTGAGGTGAGTGAGTCCCGGTGCCCGGGTCTAAGGTGCGAAAGGTCTGAAGGCAGCTCGGGAGGCGGGAGGGCAACCTTCGGGGCCGGCCGTAGACTGGGCCTCGGTGACTGGCGCTGTGCTGGCGCTGCGGCTCCTGTTCCCGCGCGAGCTCTCGCGGGAGCCGCTGTTTTCCGCCGCGCTTGGCAGCGGGGAAAAGTGAGTCCCCGCGGGGTAGTTGCTAGTCCCAGTCACCCAGCACACGGTTGTCGATCCAGACTAGAGGCCTCTCGTTTCGGCCGCGTTCCTCGGCGGGCCGGGCCGCCCGGAGCCGCCTCGCTCCGTGGCCATGGGAGTCCAAGGGCCGCTGGGCAGGCGGCGAGGACTTGGGCGACCTTGGCCCCGGTCGGTCGGCTGGTGCGGGGGAGGCGAAGCGCGTCCCGGGCAAGGGCCCTGCTGCGGCTGCCCCCCGGCGCAGCTGCTTGGGGCCCTCGCGAGGAGACTGTTCACCCCGGTCCCCGATGGCCGGTGCGCTCGCTCGGCAAAGTTTCACGGAGCGCGGCGGCCTCCGAGGGGCGCCGGCGCAGGGGTGCAGAGGCGCGTATCCACATCATGACAGCAGCCTCGTAAGGGCCGTGGGAGCGCGGAGGTGGTAAGAACCAACCAGTGTTGCCAGCGAACTGGGGGAAGATCCTTCCTCTAGCCAGTGATACTTGGGGCGGGGTGGGGGTGGCGTTTCAAACTCAGTTGCTGTTCTCCGTTCGTTTCTTAATTCAACAAACGTTTAAGTGCTTCCTAAGTCCTAGGCGGACTCCGCGCTGTGCAAGTCCCGGCCCTCCCTGCACACCGCAGATTCCAGAGTTATCTCGTTGCTGTAGTGGGAGGACTCGAAAGAAAGGCGGCGTGCTGTGGGGTGAGCAGGGGCGGAGGGGATGCCTGAGCTGAGCTCTGAAGAGACATTAAGAATAAGCTTGGTGAAGGGGGTGCAGTAGAGGCGGTAGTGTGGCTCAGAGATGGTGTGTTGGAGGCTGAAAGAAGGCAGTGTGGCTGGAGGGCAGAGAGCAGGGGGGGTCAGCAGGAGGTGGCTGTGAAGTGTGCAGGGGCCGAAGGTACAGGTCTTGTCTGCAGTTAGTGTTGCTAGAGAGGGCAGAGAAAGATGAGGTTGGGCCTGATTGTGGAGGGCCCTGCAAGCCATGCTGAGGAATCTAGGTTTTTTTTCCTGTTGGCTCTAGCAAGCCAGTTTTAAACATATGAGCGATATGGTTAGCAATGTGTTTCAGAAAGAATCCTCTGGCTGGCTGTTGTGTGACGGTTAAGCCAAACTGAGTGTGTAGAGGTAAGGCTGGAGAGGAAGTGGCTGTAATGACTAAAGTGAGAACTAGAGAAGCACTGATATATGGAACTTGTGGCAGGCACTGACATTCCACACAGAACCTGGCACACAGAGGGACTTTGATAAAAGGCTTGAACTGAGGTGAGAAGATGGAGCCCATGCGGGAGGCAGCAGGACCTGGACCAGACTTTACTGGCATGACCACTGAGTGACCTCAGACGAGTCCTTTCACCTCTCCAGCTTCCTTTCCCCATGTGTATCAGAAAGTAACACCTGCTCTCCCAAGGGTGGAAGAGAGACCCTCCAGGGGAAGCCTCTAGAAAGAGCTGCTTTGTCAGTCCAGTCTCTCTCCTGTCCAGAGCCTGTCTGGGGCCCCCCAGTGACTTCTCATCCAGGCATTCCCAGCCCTCATGACTTGATCCCCAGTCTATTTGCAGCCTTATCATACTCTGTTCCTCTTTACATATCCCTCACCTTCCTGTGCTGGACATGTGCTCCTGCTGCTGTTTTTCTTCCCTTTCTACCCGCTCTGGACTCACCACTGGGCCTTGGGGCTGAACTCAGCTGGCCACCTGCCTAGTGTGCCTCTCTTAAGTAGTGATATTCAACTTCTGCTAGAATTATATATTCAGGTCCTATCTCTCTGTTGGACTGGGTTCCTTGAGAGTATGACTGTGTTGTTACTCCTTCCATACTCTCTATGGTGCCCAGGACAGGGCCTGGCACAAATGGGTATTGTTGGTATTTGATGAACAAGGGAATGAATGAGCTCCCTGATTGCGTCTACTCACCATGCAAGGGCAGCTGTGAAGAGTAGTCAGGAGTGACTCCACCCATCTGTGTCATGTTTTAATAGTTCATTAAAGCCACTTTTAAAAAAGATTAAATGACTTGCCTAAGGCTACAAAGCCAGTAGGTGAATGAGCCAAGATTAAAAAAAAAATTTGACTCTTCCCTGTAGCCCAGTAGACAGATTGGCACGATCTGGCTGTTCTGTTTTCTCTTAACTCTTCCCCCTTGCAGGGGCCCAGGAGTGCTAGCCTGGGTGGCATATGCTGTGCTTTTATATCTCCTTCAAGAATGAATGCTGAGCTTCAACTTTACCTACAGTTTGGCTCTCCCATGAGCTTTGTAGCCACCAAAGGATTCTATTTACATCTTTAGAAGTTTTGCCTCAGGAAACTTTAGGGCCCAGGAAGGCTCCCCAGGTTAACCAGCCTCACCCAGCAAGTCTGGAACAGAATCTCTATGGGTCTGGATTTGAAGAAGCCAGTGTTAGGTGAGGGCAGCCTCTTGGGCTGGTTTTCTTCCCTGCTGAAACATCAGAGAAGGCTTAGTGTTAGTCATGGCTCTGCAGGGCCTGGTTTTGTGGGTCTTGTTTGGTGGCCACTGAGTCCCTGCTGTGGGGGTTGTTTCACAGGAAGGGAAATCTGGTGTTCCTCAAGATGGCCTGATATGAAGAAGTCACGCCTTCTGCCTCCCCGAGCTGCCTTGTGGCTGCCTTGTCCTTCAAGTGCAGGAGCTGGTTGAAATTTCAGGAATGGAAGCTAATGTGGTAAGGCACATTCCCAGGGCAGGGGTATGGTGGGGAAGGTGAGCACTGGGCCTGCTGAAGTGCTGTATGAGGCTCTGAGACTGCAGTTAATTCTTCCTTCCTCCCTGGAGGCCTAGAATTGGAGTAAGGTCACCCTTCCACCCCCGACCCCCAGGAAGAACCAACTATGATCTAGGGCACTTCAGGAGCTGATGTGTTTCTGCCTTTCTGTGAAGAGAGAGGGGAGGAAAGCCCAGGGGATCCCTACATCCAGCTAATTCTCCTCATCCCTTCACTGGGCCCTCCCAACATTGACTGCCTTAGCAGTAGCAGGTGTCCTCTTGGGTGGCTGGCCAAGGTGAAGGCTGGTGACTGGGGAACCTGCCCTGTCTCATAATTGAGACTTAACCCCAGAGAGTGCCCTGTCCCTGGGATTGGGGAATTCAGTCTCCCTTCTAGAGAAGAGAGGACAGGGACAATAGATGGACTCATGTCTCTGAGGTTGTGGCTGTCTTTCTCTTTGCTTTAGACTATCCCAATCTGGCAAAGCAAGCCACATGGGGCTGCACGAAGTGTAGTGAGAAGAATTGGGACCAATTTACCCCTGAAGCCATGTCCCCGGGCATCCTTTGAGGTGAGTATGCTGGAAGGGCAAAGACAGTAGAGGCTCAGAGACTATGAAAGTATGGTTTCCATGCCCCAGACCCATTGGCATTGCCAGAGCAAGTTGCTTGCCTGGTCACGTTTTCATTTTGTTGAGAAATATTTAAGTGCTTATAATGGATTCTGGTCACTGTACCTTCCTGATAGCACACCAACCTGTGACCTCAACAGTGAGACTTGCAATTTGCTTACAAACTAATAATCTTGCATCTTTGGTGCCTCTACTTAGTGACTCAGATTTCATTGTGCTCTAGCAATCCAGTTTAACAGAGCAGGCCAAAGGCCCTTCGTGAACCAGATCTCCAGACTAGTTATATATATGCTGTGAGGTATTTGCCTGCAACTTGGCAGGTCCCTACGTGGGACAGAGTGCTGTGTGTGACTCCTGAGTTGGACTCCGCTTTTCTTCATGAGCCATAAGACTTGGCCACTTAGCCACTATTTTGGGGAGAGTGAGGGGCAACTGGCCCATACAAGGATCCGAACTTTAGACCTTGGTGTTATCAACACTGTTCTAACCAACTGAGTTACCCAGCCAGCCCATTAGCCACTGTTTTTAGTGTTTCTCTAAGGCTGTTAATTCCTCATCTTTCTCTTTCTGGCTAAATCTGGCTGCTCTCTTACTGGGCTACTTCAGCCTTACCTCTGTGTCTAGGAAGCCCTTAGCATCCACTCTGCAGCAGAGATTCTGAGATCCCTTTCTGCAGTGGAAGGCTAAGTAGCATTTATTAGTCCCAGCTGCCTCCCTCTAGGAACTAATGGTTAAACATCAGCTCCAGGCTAGATGGTTAAAGTATGTGTATTTGGGGAGCTGGGACATAAGAGAAATATTTTTGTTTACACAGAAGAGACAGAAATATATTCTTGAAAGGATGTGGGTCCAGGTAGAAAAAGGAATGAAGCTAATCTGTGAAGTCTGTGTAGGAACTGGATCTGGAGTTAGAAGTAGTGCCAGGGTTGGTGTTAGAGTCAGGAATGGGGTTGGAAGTTGGGTGTTGGGGGGTAGCTGTCCCATGACCCAGATTGCCAGCTATCCAGAATTGCCTAAAGGGCACGGGCAGGATGTGGTCCTAGCTGCCTCAGAAGCATCAGAAACAAAGGGAAAGACAGCTAAGGAGTATGACTGACTCCATGGAGGTAGCCCCACACTTGGTTATACCCTCTCCAGTCCTTACGCCAGATGCTGCTGGACACAGGCTCCTACAGAGCAGAAGTATGTGTGAGTAGTATTAGTAATACTAGCTAAAATTTACTGAATACATCTATGTGTTAGGCACTGTGCTAAGTACTTTATAAGTACTCATTTAATTGCCAAGAGCAAAGGAGCATTCAGAGCTAATCCAAGAAAGCAAATGGAGGCTTTCCCTAAATGGCCCATCTTAGCAGTAACTTCTGGGTCAGTCAGAGTCCTCCTCTGTGTGACCTTGGAGTGTCACTTTATTCCTCAGTCCCCAGGCTCCCTATTTAAAAGCAGGAACTATCAAACACCTGATCCACATACCAATTTGTAGCAGAAACATTTGAATTTAACTTGTGTAGGTGTGTGTATTATTAATTATCCCTGGGTTTCTATTGTAAATTAAATTACCTTAAATATTACTTAAGGGAATCTTACTGATTTATTTTTAAATTTAACCATATAAAAATATGTAATTATGGAAAGTAAAGAAGGAAAATAAATTACCTATAATCACACAGTCATGACACAATAACTTCTAATGTTAGTGTAGTTCCTTTCTACCTTTTTCTAGATGCGTACTTTTTACTTTGCTGTAATCAGTCAACATATCATTGAATCCTCCTAATTTTTAACTTAAGATAGTGTCATTTACTCAGCATCTCTATTTCTTGGTTTTTGTTCATTTGGGTTGAGGGGCTATTTTAAGAAATCCCACTATGGTTTCTTTTGTATAACTAGTCATTTCTTTTTATTTAAATCTAAATATTCAAATTATCAGATTTGCCTAAAACAACATTGTTGTAACAATGTAGGTTCCAATTTAGCTATAAAGTTGTTATAAAGAGCTAGCAAAGAGAACTACCCTGTTGATATAACAGGTTGCTGATGACCTTGCCACCTGAATCAGAGGGCAAGATAGTTTTAGACAGTGGTCATCTCTATTAAAAAGTAACTCAGGCCAGTCCCACTGGAGACCCTGAACTATTTGTAATCCCACAGAACTCTCTTGCTTCTAGCCCATTATTCAAGCTGTTTCCAACCAGGAACCACCTTCTGCTCCCTCTAGGAAGCCTTCCTGATACCCAGTGCTGATTAGGTGCCCCTCCTGTATATTTTGCAGTCTCTGGTTGGCTCATCATGGTGTCAGTAAATGTTGGTTGATGAATTTTGCTTCCCCACAGACCCTGCCCAACATCTCTGACCTGTGTTTGAGAGATGTGCCCCCAGTCCCTACTCTGGCTGACATCGCCTGGATTGCTGCAGATGAAGAGGAGACATATGCCCGGGTCAGGTAACTGAGGCAGTAGCCAGTCTGCTGGGGTATGGGGAGCTTCCTCCCAGAAGAGGTGGCAAGCATAAAGGAGGTTACTTGTGGGAGGTCGAGGGCAATAGGAATGAGATCCATGGGCTCAGAGGGGAACAGAACCTTACTGTGTTACTCTGATAGGAGTGGAGGGAAGGAATTTTACAAGGGGTGCAGTGGCCGGCTCTCTCAGACTGACATACTTGTCTTTCCCTGGTCCAGGAGTGATACACGCCCCCTGAGACACACCTGGAAGCCCAGCCCTCTGATTGTCATGCAGCGCAATGCCTCAGTGCCCAACCTACGTGGGACTGAGGAGAGGCTCCTGGCCCTGAAGAAGCCAGCTCTGCCAGCCCTAAGCCGTACCACTGAGCTGCAGGATGAGCTGAGCCACTTACGCAGCCAGATTGCAAAGATAGTGGCAGCTGATGCAGGTAGGAGCTCCTGAGCCAAGGCGAGAGAGTAGCAGACTGCCCCTTTCCCCCTAACTTTCGGGCAGAGCAGGGGTAAGGAAAATGGTGGTCCCTGGTTCAGGGAGACTTAGGCCCAGTGTTCTGGGGTTGTCCTGAAGCTGTTGTGCCCCTTGGATGGTTTCTACCAGCTGATTGGGGCTGAATGGTTTGGTTACAAACAAAATCTTCACTTAACCTGTGACCCCAGGTATATTCCCTGCCTTGGCCACAAAAACCAATGCCCTCTTCCAAGTTTCTTTAAGATCATATCTTCCACAGCGGCTTCCTTTTCAGTGTGAGAAATGAGCATTTTCCACCCCCACCACCAAGAGACATATCTCCCTTTAAACACCTGTCTTCCCTTTCCTGTCCTTTCTACTTGATATCACCTCTCCGTCACTCCAGCTTTCTGTCTGCAGTTAAGGCAGAACCACTGGAAATGGATGGGAACCTGCCTTTACCAAAGACATGGATAACCAAGTGGATCTCTCCCAAGATGCTCAGGGTTTATCCTCATATTCCTCCTAGCCTCATTTTTTCATTCCTTGTTGACTCAAAGTCGTAGCTCCCAAACCCTATCAGTTGGTAGAGCACATGAAAATCATGATGTTCTCTTTGCCTCTGTCACTGTTGCTTCCGTCTAAGACAGGACTGTCACTCCATAGCCTACTGTGGAGCTTTTAGGAGGGAAGGCCTTTGTGGGATGGGTTTTTCTTCCTTCCTGGAACAGTGGAAGAGCCCAGTGCTTCTACATCTTCCTGAGTACCTGAGTGGGAAAGGGTAGTAGAGGGACCCTCCATTGGCTACAGATACCACCCTGGCCCTCCCAGGATATCTTGCTGTCATCCCAGGAAATGAATAGTTGGTAGGCAGTGCTATGGAGAGATGTTGCCACTGTATTCTAGCCCCAATGTCCTCCATGCCTATTGTTTTCTCTTTCAGCTTCGGCTTCATTAACGCCAGATTTCTTATCTCCAGGAAGTTCAAATGTCTCTTCTCCCTTACCTTGTTTTGGATCCTCATTCCACTCTACAACTTCCTTTGTCATTAGTGACATCACCGAGGAGACTGAGGTAGAGGTCCCCGAGCTTCCATCAGTCCCCCTGCTTTGTTCCACCAGCCCTGAATGTTGCAAATCAGAACACAAAGCTACCTGCAGCTCATCTGAAGAGGATGACTGCGTCTCTCTGTCCAAGGCCAGCAGCTTTGCAGACATGATGGGTATCCTGAAGGATTTTCACCGTATGAAACAGAGTCAAGATCTGTAAGTATTTGATGAGGAGCTCTGGTGATCTGTTTATTCTTTTAAGTTGCCTATGGCCAGTGTTCTAATACAACATACATACATAGTAAGTCCTCAGTGGTAGCCATACATGTTATGTCATTCACAAAGCTTGCTGACTATCTCTTGCTAGTGCGTGGGACCCCAGTTTGAAGAGCAATAGTTTACATCTGTTGGGTTAGGTCACCCCAACCAAAGTGTTAGATTAGTAGGGATTTTACAAGAAGGCCCATCTAATCCAACTTCTGTCCCCAGGTGGCTTCACCAGTTCTAGTGACAGTAACACTACTTCCTAGTGACACTGTCCTCATGCCCTACCCTTCAAAGTGGAGGGTTACATGACACGTATTTTGGTATCTCAAATTGGTAAGACTTTTTGGTGGAAGGACAATTTCATGAAGTTGGGGGTTTCTGCTTTAAAATACAGTGGTCCATTATGCAGTTCAACCGTGCAAATTCAGGGATTTGAGAACAAGGTTTCTGAGATTCACAGGTACTTCCTACACCTGGGTGCCCATCAGAATTGCTCAGATTTGTCAAAAATACACCTTAAACTTACTACAGCAGAATCCTCAAGGAGTTCAGCTGAGTTTTCCTGATGAAGAGTAAGGGAATTTGAGGAATACCTACCTTGAAAAACTTATCTAACAGGGAAACCCTAGAGCTCCAGCCTAAGTGAATCCCCACCTTGCACAGTGTTTCTCCAGGTGTGGTCTGAGCAGCTGCATGGGACTCACCAGAGGACCTTGTTCAAATGCAGGTTGCTGGGCATTTAAGTTTGACATCCAGACCTTGATGCCAGCACTCAGGTTGTGCAGCTGTATTTATTAATGCAGATAAAAAAGCTCTTCTGGGAGCTAGGAGGTAAGGTCTTTCTCCTGAGTTGATGAAGTACCTTCTAAAGGGAAAGTTATTCACCTGTACAAAGATCCCTTTTTGTCCTGTGGGCCCCATTTCCCTCTGAAAACCAGACAAGGCTAAGTAACTCCCTCATTGCTTCCTGGCAGTTGACCCTTTAGGGAAGTCACTCTTACCTTCCCTCTCTGACCCTAGCCTTTATTCACACCCACCCACAGTTCTTTGGTCTCTCACATTCCCAGATTCAGCTGCTGCTTCTTTTGGTATGCCCTGAGGCTTTCTATTCTGGTCACAATGTTTTATAGTTTGACTCTCAAACTTTCTCTACTTGTCTCTTGGGCTGAACTAGACCAAAGACTCTTCTTGACAAGCCCCTCCTCCCACTTGTGTCCTGGGACCAGAAGGAGGTAGGTCAATGGCTGAGAATGGGAAAATAGTTCAGTCAGCAAATGTTCAGAAATGTGACAGACCAAAGGCAGTTCCTTGTTTTTGCTTTCAAGGTTTAATAATCAGTCTTGGCCCTTATGTCTAGCTTAATGACCATAAAACATCTTCATTAGTATGTATGTATATATAAGTTCACTAGAACTTTAAGAAACTATTTTCCAGGTATCTAGGACCTTCTTGTATGGTGTATCAGGTAATTTGAGCCTACCCTAATCTGAAGTTGGTTTTGTCCCCTTGAGTTCCTTATGATGTGAATGTTTTGCTAAAATTCTGAATCTCTTATTTTAAAAAAATCTCTCAACTCCCTTAAGGGGGAGACAGGATAGTAGGAAATCCTCAACCCCCCCTCTCTTATTTTAAAAAAATCTCTCAACTCCCTTAAGGGGGAGACAGGATAGTAGGAAATCCTTAACCCCCCCCCCCTTTTTTTTTCTCCTTTTTGTCTTTTTTACTGACTGGTAACGGGATCACAACCCTCGGTGTCACGCCCGTACCGGGGATCGGCAACGGGATCGCAACCCTCGGTGTTGCGCCCACACCGCGCTCAGCCAGTGAGCGGGAACCGGTCTCCACATGGGATCCGAACCCTCGGCGGGAGCACCGCCACACTCCCAAGCAGCGCACTCTCCAGTGCGCCACCGGGCCGGCCCCATTTTTTTTTTTTTAAAGATGACCAGTAAGGGGATCTTAACCCTTGACTTGGTATTGTCAGCACCACGCTCTCCCAAGTGAGCTAAACGGCCATCCCTATATAGGAATCCGAACCCATGGCTTTAATGTTATCAGCACCATACTCTCCCAAGTGAGCCACAGGCTGGCCCTCTCAACACACATTTTCCCCAAAACTAATGAAGGTCAGAATAGCCAAAAGTCATCAGTCACTTCCCCTGCTGATCCTCTGGGGAAATGCTACTAAGAAAATACAGGGCCAGGAGGTAGGAGCAAAAGCTTAGCCACCAGAGGCCAACTCTAGCAGATTTAGACTGTTTATTTTGCCCACATTTCATCGCATTTCAAGAAAGAGTAAAGCATTCTAGTTAAGAGATGAGATCTGGAACCAGCTAGTTTGGTTTTGAACTCTGGATTCACCACTTACTTGCTCAGTTACTCGTGACTTTGGGCAAACTGTATAACTTTACTGTGCTTCAGTTTCCTCATCTGTAAAAAGGTGATAGAACCTACCTCATAAGAGTGTTGTGAGGATCTAGTGAAATAATGTATGCAAAGATATAGAACACTGCACAAGACAGAGTAAGTACTCAGTAAATATTGCTGTGTCTCCAGGAACCGGAGTTTATTGAAGGAGGAGGACCCTGCTGTACTTATCTCTGAGGTCCTAAGGAGGAAATTTGCTCTGAAAGAGGAAGATATCAGTAGAAAAGGAAACTGACAACAGCTCTGCAAACTGTCTCATGCTCCTGGAATTCCTTCAACAGCTGCCTTCCTCACCGCAGATGTTTCTGACTCAATTAGAAATCTTCTGCAACAGTCTTGCTGACAAAGCTAGAGCTTGGACTGAAAGAGAAGAGCTAGATTATATGTTTCTTGTACTTTAAGCCTTAGCAGAAGCTAAGGCCTGTGATTTGAACTGAGACATTTGTTATAGATAATTGTGTAAGGTGGAGTATCTCAGTTTAAAGGGTGAGAGAGAATCTGTTTCTGGTTTTTCCTTGCCTCTGTGTGAAAATAGGTCCTAAATGAATGACTTACTTCACTGCATTAGACCCCATAACTGGTCTCACCGGACACTTTGTACCCAGCTGTCACTCACTCTCAGCAGCTTCCTTGCAGCAGAGCAGGGCTGAGGGGAGGGGGCTGTAGATGTTTATGTACTTGTTCACAGGGCAGGGTAAATCTTATGCTGCTCCATCATAAACCTACACCAATGCTCAGCAATCACCCTCTCCCCTTCCTTGTCTAGACGTAGAGGTTGGGCCGCCGGACCAACTGACATTTGGGCTGCTGCTGGGAGGCCTGGGCTATTTTTTTCTTAAACACATTTTATAATACTGTACAACCAAATCTACCCTCCAAGGCCCTGGGGCCTCATCAGTTCCACTGATGGAAAACCTCTTCCTTGGACTTTAGGTTAAACCCAGGAGGAAAGGGAAATGGGGAGGGGAAAGAGCATACCATCCTTCTTCCAGACCCTTGAATGCTTCTTTGGGTTGGGCCAGGGTTTGTACCTACCACACCATGCATGACTCATGCCCTCAGGTCCCTTTCTCTATGGTATGTATACTGTGTGTGTTTGGGTTGAAGTACTACATGACATTAAAGGAAGGATTGCGAGATCTTGCATTTACTGTGTCCATCTCTGATTGTGATCACCCAGTATCCCCCAGGGGTATGACTCCTGTTAACTTTAAGGTATATGAACTTTCTTAAACAGGCTCTTGGCTTCCCCTCTTTCTTTATAACATCCTGCCCTTATAAGAGAAAACTCCCCCCCCCCCCAAAAAATCCTCTGTAGAGATTTTGTCCTAAACTCTTAAAAGCAGTTCCGTCTTACAACTTGCAAGTTTGCCCCCTAGAGGTTGGTTAAGCCTCTTAGGTACCACACCTGCAACATGGAGAAAACCCCCCCCCCCCCCAAAAAATCCTCTGTAGAGATTTTGTCCTAAACTCTTAAAAGCAGTTCCGTCTTACAACTTGCAAGTTTGCCCCCTAGAGGTTGGTTAAGCCTCTTAGGTACCACACCTGCAACATGAGAAACTGCCACCTGATGGATAATGAACACGGGTTTATTAGATCAAATTCATATAGGACTCAGGGCAATGACAGAGCATATACTATTAAAATATTGCTTTTTCAAAAATGAAATTGGTAGTGTTCTAATTACCATCAGAGCCAGCTTTGTGAACATTTGCTTAGACCCATAGTTTTATAAAAGGGATTCCCTACCACCTTGTGGAAAGAGTTAATATGGTCATATCTAGATCACTATATAGCTCGGGCTTTTTTAGGGACAGATTTAAACATGGAGTTTGTAACTTTTAAAATGTACACAAAAATAAAACAAAAAACTTAAACTACCACCATTTTACCTCTCTGTGTCCCCACATCCCACATACCTGGATTGAGGAGATTTGTCTTAATCATTCAAAAACATGTCAGGAACAATGGTCCCAAGCTTAAGTTGAGAGGGTAATATTACAGCCATTGATTAAAAAAAACACTTCCATAAGAAGCAAGGTCCCAGTCAGGCATGTAAAAGGGTAGAGAGATAGCTCTGCGCAGGCTGAATAACAGGCTCTTTAGTGGAGGGACAGTTACCTGCCCTGCCTCCTCCGTGCTCAGTCATAGACTCATTCAGGGAATTTACCAGTCACCTCCTTCATGAGGGAAAAGCATGATGCCAATCACACCCTCAATGAACGCTACTGCCTGCTTTATTTACACAAAGAAAATGCTCAATAATGACAGCTTCATCCCATGGCTCCTTCCCACCTAAAAAAAAAAAAAAAGCACTCCCTCCCCATCCCCAACTACAAGACATTTTCCTACATCTCCACCATTACAAGGTAACTTTTAGAACCAAACCCTCATAAAAACCTTAGAATTGGTGCCTGATAACTTGATTACCTTCAGAGTCTTGGGTAAAGAGCAAATCAGGCTGCAGATTTAACTGAGTTGACCTGTCTTGGCACTGAGCCTGAGGGCTGTTAGGAAACTGCCCTAAGCCCAGATTCCAGTCATTGGTTACATCTTGGAAAGGAGCTCTAGTGTTGTGGGCAATGACCCGCTGGCCCTGAGAATCTTCAGTGAAAAGCTGACTCCAGGAGTCCTTGTCATTCTTTTCACTGTCCCAGGAAAAAACAGAAAAAGGACAAGGGCTTTGTTTCACTGATTCTATGTTTTCTCCACTCCAGGATTCCCTGTAAGTTTGAAGGACAGGAGCCTGCCTGTTTTCTTTGTCAGATACCTTACTTTCCAATTTAGTCCTCTTCAAGGGCTGAGAGCATTTGCCCCCAGGTGGTTTGATGTGTCTCTCCATGCCCTGATGGTTCTTAGATCCATGAAGCCATTCCCTTTTCCTGGGAGAATCCCTTTCTCCCTCTTTTTGGTCCAGCAAACAAGAATTTTCCAAGTTCTGAGTAAATGAAAATGCCAGTGAGGCTTTACTCTCTCCAGCACAGACTAGGGTGTAAGGCTGAAGTAAGGACAACACAGTCAAAACTGGAGTTCCAATTTTGTTGTGGTCAGAAGTCTGGAGGGACTGAGGAGAAAGTCCATCTTCCTGGATGTCTGCAGGGGTTGAAGTGGCTACAGGGGGTGCCATGCAACTATCCTCCAAGCCCTTGATCAAATGATCTAGCTGGGTTGCATCCTTCTTGGACTCTTTGTTGATCTTGCTTTCTATATGAGACGAAACACTCTGGTCACCATCATTTGTCTTTCCTAGTAAAACAGGAGTGAACAAATATTATTCTGTAGGAAAAACTGCCCTGAGCAGGGTTTAACTTGCTTTTTATCAGCTACTATTACTACCTAGTGCAAGGGTCTTACTTAGACTCTTCACCTAACTTTGTAGCTGATGTTCCTGCTTTCAATCTCACTATTGTCTCCTGAATTATCTTTCTAAAACACAGATCTTATATTCCCCTACTTAAATATATGGATGCTTCCCATGACCTACCTACTAAAGTCAAATATGACATACAGTCAGTATGAGTTTTCCAGCTGAGTTTTCCAGCTGAATTTTTGTTTGTGGGGTTTGTGGGTCATCGGTTTTGCTTTTGTTTTTTATTTAATGTGGTTTCTACTAAATAGTGATCCTGGCTAAATATATACTCCTTAAAGAAACATGCTCAACACACACTAGTTTTGTAAGGTCACAAAGATCATATTAACCATCCAACTCTGAGAAACCTTCTGGTGACTGTGTGAAGAACATAGGCTCCCCACTCCCCAAAGGTTTCATGAGAAAGACAGTGAAGACACACTTAGGATGCGAAGTCAACCAACCTGTCCATTTTATCAGGTGTGGAATGGATCCTGTTCTGCCTCAAGATAAGCAGAATGACATGGAATTCCCACTCTTCCCAAATTACACCAAGATCTAACTACAACCAGAGCAGAAATGGCTGATTTCCTCTTTCCTTCTCCAACAAGAATTATACTGCAGAAACTATATTTTGTGAGAATTCTCAACTTTGTCTCAAAATTCAATCTAGACTATAAAATATACCAAAATTTGTAAATGGGAAAAGTGTTTTTGAAAAAAATCTGCCCTTGTTACATGGAGCAAAGGGTGTTTAAGTTTTTGTTTGGAGGGAGAGTGCATTTTGAAGGTTTATGCAAAGCAATCCTGAGAATCACTTCACAAGTTAGAGCATTCCTCCCGTGCCTGCTACTGATAAGAAACCCTGCTCTGTAAGTCCCAGCCTGCTCTGAGGCAGCTGCTATGTGGAACAGGGACATGCAAGGAAAGAGGTGCCAAAGGATGAAGAGAAATAAGCCAACTTTATGCCAACTTTGTAAGAAAAAAGCATCTACGAACCTTTGGTTAATTTGAGAAACTTTATACAGAAATATCAATTAACTTGTACAGATTACTCACTATGGCCAATCCAATATATTTACCTAACTAATGGCAGGTCAACTCCCCTATACACCCCAAACTCCCAAGTACACCTTTCTTCGCAGATCTTTCAGCAAATGTAAATATTTAATATTGGACTGAGCAGAACAGAACCAGAAAAGTATGTTTGTGAAGCATGTATATATTGCTTTTCAAAAGGCAATGATTTATTTTATAACCTTTTCCAATAGGTCAGCTAAATTTAACACAATACACTAGTTTCACCACTTCTCATAAATGTTCCAACACGGAAAAATGAACACACTCTTTTTGCTCCCTCGATAATGAAGTATTCCCAGATGGGTGACCATACCTGGCTGCAAGGTGAAGAAGGAAGTAATGCTGGTCTGCCGAGCACCTGCAGGTGTAGTACTTCTTTGAGTAAGAGAAATATTAGCCTTTCCTTCTCCAGGAAAATGTGTTAGCATTTTGGTGCCTGGTTTGATTAAATGTGTCTGAGAAAGAGAATAGAAAGAATAATAAAGCCTATTAACAGTACTGTTAGACAAGATTCAATAAACACCAGTGAACCTCTTGGAACCATACTGCACCCTTTGGATTCCATTCATATCCTACTCTCTAGGTAGTTTGTGCTGGACACCATCTTCCATAATTTCCTCCCATCCTGGGAGTGATTTTTTTCCCTTGGGAATCACATATTACAACTACAGCCCAATCTTTCTGCTTCCCCATGGAAATCAGTCAGGCTGACTAAACAAACAGGATTTGTTGAAGGGATTCCAGAGATGATACACTCTCCTTTATATTTAAGGATAATTAATGATTCTATATCCGAATAGTTGATGCATTTTCAATAGTTTTCAAGTAGTTACATAATGGTTAAAAGCATGGCTTTAGAACCGCACAGCCTGGTTTCAAATCAATTCCAGTTCTGCCACTGGCATTTGTTAGTTGTGTTACTCTATAAATTGCTATCTCTGTGTCTTGTTCCCCTGTGTGGAATAGGGACAATTATACCTATCCCACAGGGCAGTTATGAAAATTTAGCAAATTAACTCACTTAAAAGGCTTACACATTGGGGCCAGCCCGGTGGCGCACTGCTACAGTGTGCCGCTTGGGAAGCGCAGCGGCGCTCCCGCCAAGGGTTCGGATCCGACATATAGACCGGCCGCTCACTGGCTGAGCGAGGAGCGGGGGCAACACCGAGGGTTGCGATCCCGTTGCCGGTCCCGGTCCGGTACGGGCGCGACACTGAGGGTTGCGATCCGTTGCCGGTCACGAAAAAAAGACAAAAAGACAAAAAAAAAAAAAGGCTTACACAGTTCCTGGCATTCAGTCACAGCTGGCTACCAGTAAGAGGAGGAGCAATGAAACAGCACCAGAACTAGAAGATGTGCATGAGAGATTTAGGAAGTGAGTTTTGTCAACTAGCTATAAATATAATCTTGTCCTTATTTAGTGTGATTTGTTTTTACTTCCATTTGCTTGTTAAGGAATGCCTGAGAAGTGGGGAGAATAGGATTATATTTAATTCCATTTGGTTGTGACTGCCAAAGAAGAATGGGATTTGTCAATATTCATGCAGCAAGCTGAAGGTAGCTCTGAAACTCAAACCCAATTTAACAATTCTAGCCCAAAGTTGACTTCATTTTACTTTTACATTTGGAAACTAAGTTGCTCTGTAAGGGGTTAAAAGAAGAAGGAAATCTTGGATGTAAAATTCATACTATGACTTGTTAGAGTACTGGCACAGAACTTTCACCATACACAACTAGAAAACTGGATCAAAGATACATGAAAAAATTGATTTTAAACAGCAGACAACAGGCAGTACAGAACTGTGATCCCTGAGAGAAGAAAAACAGCCTAGAAGCACTTTCCAGACCAAAATGTATACCCAAGCAGAACACTGCAATCTTTTTTTTTAATTTAAAAAGATGACTGGTAAGAGGATTTTAACCCTTGGCTTGGTGTTGTCAGCACCACGCTCAGCCAGTGAGCTAACCAGCCATCCCTATATAGGATCCAAACCCATGGCCTTGGTGTTATCAGCACTGCACTCTCCCAAGTGAGCCCCGGGCTGGCCCCTAGCACTGTGATCTTGATGAATTGAGTAGATTGAGATTGGAATTTGGGGAAGCTGAGGTGGCTGGAATTTGATGTAAAGAGAAAGACCTCCAGAAATCTGCACAGGGATCCCCCTTCAGTCCATTACTGAATACTAAGTTGCACATGTATTAGGTGAAACCCCAGGAGGCCAGGCAAGGAAACTGCAAGCTGGAATTGCAAGCTGATCTATTTTCAGAGCTCACACAAGGCTGGGAGACGTCTGAGTTCTCACTAGCCGAAGTAGAAGAGATAACCTTGAACACCAGAGGCATTCAGTAAGGCTCTCAGAAGAATCATCCCTTAGTAGTAGAACTAAAGTAGCCGTACAGCAGAAACTACTCCAAAGCCCTCCTTAATCTTAAAAGCAAGCTTTTTTTTTTTTTTTTTTTTTTTTTGTCTTTTTGTCTTTTTTTTTCGTGACCGGCAACGGATCGCAACCTTCAGTGTCGCGCCTGTACCAGACCGGGACCGGCAACGGGATCGCAACCCTCGGTGTTGCCCCCACTCCTCGCTCAGCCAGTGAGCGGCCGGTCTGTATGTGGGATCCGAATCCCTGGTGGGAGCGCCGCCGCACTTCCCAAGTAGCGCACTGTAGCAGTGCGCCACCGGGCC